AGGGCGGTGGCCGAGTGGGCCGGGTGTGGGTCTGCGGCTGCGGACTGACATTCGCGGTGGAAGGCGACTTGGTGCTGCTGTGGCGGCGCCTGGGAGAGGGGTGATGGAGCGTTCGGAGAGGAAGACGATTTCGGAGCTGGATGAGCTGATTCGGCGGAGAGCTGGCGGGGGAGAGGGTCTGAGGTTGCGGCGTAAGGATGTTGGTTGTCTGGCTGGGTGGGAATTGTGCTGGGTGTTGTCGTCCTCTTGCTCGTCCTCGGAGAGGAGGTCGATCACATCGACGTCGTATCTTGAGGGTGGCATTGTTGGTGGTCTTCTTGAGCGGTCTGGCGGGAGTGAAGCCGGAGAAAGGTACTCTCGCGGCGGTGAAGGCATATCTTGGAGGAAGTCATGATCGTCTTCACCTGAAGACCCATATGCGACATCATATCCGAATGGGTTTGGTTGCCAGTCCAAGTCATTCTCGTCGTCGTCTGCCGTAAGATCTATCGCATTCGCGGATCCGCTGGACATGGCTGGTCGTCGGAGATCGAGGCTTCCGCGGGCGTGGGAGTATGGGTGGGTAGGAGTGTACGGGCTGTATCTGACTAGATTCGGTGGCGGAGACGTAGTCACCACTCTCCGACGCTTCGATACGGGTCCACCACTTTCTGGAGAACTTGAGGAGCGGGTAATCTGGTCGTGAGATCTCTGCGAGGTGCCTGTCAGTGCTTGCCGTGGTGGGGGCTTTGCGGAATCGTGGCGACGCCTTACCTTACGGCTTGATGATGTATCAAACGTGACCGACGGACGCCGGACTGACATAATGATGCTCGATCGTCTCAGTGACCGTTTGTTGAGAGTGCTAGATCATCTTCTGAGGAGCATATCGTGTGCGCAATGTTACAAAGAGTGGCAGCATTTCGAGCAAGGTGAAGTTGCCGCCGTTCTAGCAGATCCGGGGCTATCGGATACTATCTCCGGTACGCATCACTCGTCTCAATCATGGAAGTCCCATGCAGTTGTAGTCACTGGGCGAAATTCACTTCGGTACCTAATGAACATCATGTTTGACACCCCAGAAGCCTCCATACCTGACTTTTGATATCACACAGCTGAAGATGCTCAGCTTCAGGCCAAAATACTGACCACGCCTTCCGAATCGACGCTGACTATGCTGCGAGCGTCAGGTCCCCATGCGAGGCTGGTCGACAGTGTCGGTAATCGTAGCGTCTCAGACCATGCCTTTTTCGAATACTGGTGGACCACAACGCCCTTCGCCCCCCCTGCCGCAAGGAACTGGCCTGTGTAATCCCAGGCGATAGATTCCACCACACCGCCTATATCGAGCGCAGTCACTTCTGCTTGCTTCCGAATGTCCCAGACCGAGACAACAGACGAGTCTTCGACAACTCCGGCCAGAAGCACGCCGTTCTCTGAGAACACGACACGTTTCAAGGCTGATCCAAATTCGAACACAGCAGCTTGTGTGCCAGACTTGACGTCGTAGACCTTGATCGAGCCTTCCCGATTGCCGAATGCTAGTAAGTGACCATCCGGGTGAAACTGTGCGCATGTGAGTGCTGAAAAGGTCAGTATTGTGCTTGACTCGAGGGGGGTATGACACTTGCCTGAACCCGTGTCGACCTGCGTGGCTACATTTCCTGAGTCTCGCTCGTAGATGACATAGGTCCCATCGGCGCCGGCGCTAGCAAATAGATCTCCGCTGGGATGTGACGCTAGAGCGGAGACGAACCCATTGTGAGGCGTCGAGCTGGATAATTCGGCTCCGTCAGCTGCTGATCTGACGCTGACCCGGCCGTTCGACGTCGCGAGAATGGCGCGGTCTTTGACCCATAACGCGCCAGTGACTTCGCCCGATCCCGCGGAAAACGAGTTGACCACTTCCCCACTCGAAGTTGAGACGACGCTGACCAGGCCATCGATTCCACCGACCAGCGCAAGGTCGCCATCCGATTGTACTGCAAGCGCTGTGACGCCTTTGCTTGCTGTCGGCAGTGTTCGACCTGCTTGATATCCTGCTATTGACTCTGCGGTTGCCCACTCCGCGGGTACTGGTCGTTTCCGCCGTGTTGACGAAAGTGATTCTTGGGTGCTCTGAATTTTGGCAATGATGCCCGCGGACAGCGGACGAGCGTCAACGTGCATGGCATCGCCGTTTGTCGCCCCGTTTACGTTGACCTTCGCAAGTGCTTCGCGCGCATCGTCACGTTCCTTGGTCAAGCGCGCAACAGTTCGGACCGCTGCATCGTGCTGGTAGAGCGCATTGCTGAGTTCTTGTCTTGTCTGTGCCAAGTTCTGCTGCAATGTGTAGGTCTCCAGCGCCAGAGCGTCCCATTCTGACTGTAGCACGCCGAGTAACGAGGGTATCGAGGTCAATGTTGGAGGGCGCGGCTTGACTGCGCTTGGTGTCTGTAGAGTAATGAGGTCTTCGACTGTTAAGGTGTCGCCGGTGGTGGGTTCCGTGCCATTCTCGGTTATGAAAGCCTCTATGAGCCGTTTGTCGTAGACATTGCCTGTGAAGGATCAGTATGCGGTCGTAGACCATGCGAATAGGCACGTACCTGACTTCCGCGAAACGACTGGGACTTGCGGAGCTTCTCCGGAGACTGCAAAATGTCAGCGCCGCATCTGAACAAGTGGTTCTGGGCACTTACTAGCACACAACATCCTTTCCCTACCTCAGCCTGCCTTTGCGCGTGGGTGCGTTGGGTTCGGGACATGTATTCGCTCTTTTGCGAAATCTGAGATGTCAGCCTTACTGACCTTTGGCGAGGCTGGCATTTTGCTTGGCAAGTTTGGGGACAGGCTCCTGGAAGTTGTGATGCATTGGAAAGTTCAGACCTGACACCTTCCTTTCGTAGCCTGGGTACCTAGCCGGTGCTGCTGATGGTATCTGAGAACCTTGATTAGCATGAGACGGCACGCAGATGCTACTGCTGGCCGCTCTTGCTTTGACCGCCACCTTCATCCGCTTGGGTCGTTTCATCAGTACACAATTAAGGCACAAATGAAGTAGGGAAGTGCTGCAGAAGAAGGCTGCTTTTTTCGCTTCAGGCGGCCGTTTACCGCGGTCCGATTTCGTTTCCGTGCTCATGAGGTTGAGACCTCGCGTTCAATCGTGCCATGTTACTTGATTGACTGATTACAGCACTGAACATGCTTTCGAAAGCCTCCGCGGATGGGAAGATGACTTTGGCCGGTGTTGGCCCAGTCAGTCAACTCGATGGCCTCATTTTAAGGGCTTACTTTTAAGCTCATTGGCTGCGGACTGACCACGGTTCTGTCAAATGCGTAGCATCCATACGAGGTCGCTGGTGACATCGCTGGGTGCTCCGTAGGTTGCTGACTGTTCGACCTACTTCAAGAGGCCTCACGACTAGCAACCGGCGCACCTCAACTTTGGCCAACCATGAGCTTTCATTCGAACAGAACTTCAGGCCCAGCGGTATTGACTTTTGTCTCACTGAACGACGATGCAACAAGATGCTCGATAGGTAAGACAGTCTCATCTCACTCATGGGTCTATCGATGATATCAGAGGCCGCAACATTGGGTACATATCTGAACCACAACGAGATGTCTTCTTAAATCGTCTCAAACACAGAACAACTGACTTCCAGCGACCAAGCCACCAAGATGTGCATGCCCAGTTCTCTCAACTCCGTCGATACATTCCTCGATTATGAGCTTGGCAACGACAAAGACATCTCGCTAGGGACCTACGATTACTACCTCCGGAAGTATGACAGAGTTCCCATGACCGTGCATGACGCTCGTGGCTACGAGAGCCTGTTCTCGCTGGACCGGAATGCCTTTGAGTTCGTGAAGCACGAGAGCAAGATCGCAAATGGAGCAGACAATTGGACCGAAGAAGCGATCAAGGTCGTGGCATACCCAGAAATCGTGGAACTGATCAAGCAACGGTAGGCTGTCCCTGTTCCAAGAAAACAACTATCCATGAAAGAAACTAATACATATTCTCCCGACCCACAGAACAGGAGCAACCCACGTCATTCCCGTCAGCCACCGCGTCCGCCACAACACGTTCCAGTCCGTCGTCGACAAGGCCAGAATCGCGCATGAGACTGGCAAAGGAATGGACCATATCGGATCAGATGCGCCACCATCCTACATGGTCCACGTCGACCAATCCTACGACGGCGCCCCGTGCTGGCTCCGCGACAATCGCTCCACAGCGCCTCCAGATGCATCCCGCTCAGCAATCATAAACGTCTGGCGCCCGCTCCGCCAAGTCCACCGAGACCCCTTTGCTGTCTGCGACGGCAGCACTGTACCCGATAGCGACCTCATACCCATGCGAACACTTCTCTCCAATGGAAATGGCGGACGATACGCAGGCTTGATTCAACCTGGAGGCGGTGATGAGATGGAGTTGTGGGTCGTCAAGCGTGCTGCTGAAGGGAAGAAACAGCATCACTGGTGGTATCTGCATGAAATGAACCCTGATGAGGTTGTTCTGTTGAAGTGCTTCGACTCGGATACGAGCAGGTGCAGACGTGCGCCGCATTGCGGGTTCGAGGATCCGAAATATGGTGGGGAGGAATGGGCCGCGAGGGAGAGTCTTGAGGTGAGATGCGCGGTGTTCTGGGCGGATGGGGAGGAAGAGGTTGAGGGAGGTCCGGTCAAGAGCGCGTGATGATGAAGTAAGTCTACACTTGTGGCCCATGGAGAGGCGTGCTTACAGTAGGCAACTCAACAACACTCTTACACGCTCAAAAGATGACGTCGAACTCAGAGAATCTGTACAAACTTCCTCAGCTGAACGAGGTACCGACAAGAATTGTTCTTCGCCACGTGGAACTCAGCTAGGCTCCCACAACGGCCCATATCATTCGTTACCAAAACCATGCCAAATCTGCCACCTGTTCCCTCCCACCTGGAGTCCATCTACGAACTCATCGTCACCACCCTTTAACACCTACCCTTCGCCTGCTTTCTTCATTCCTGCTTCAAATGGATGCATCAAACCTTCCGACTCCAGAAACAGACGTCAAAGCCATGGAGCAGCCAGAGACGTTAATCGTCTTCCTACTCCTCGACGATAAGGGCAACATCAAAGCGGGTCTCCTCCTACGGTTCTTTATCGGTGCGCACACTACTACAGAGACCATCGTCGATGTCGTCAAGGATTACTACAGTATCCATGATAGTCATGGTGTCAAATTTCAAGATCCACGGGGCAATATCCTCACTGCTTCGTACGAGGGCCTGAGCCACGGTGTCACAGTCTGTGTCAGGACTGTGTCTTGCCCAGAGCATGGCATACCCGACCACTTATACAGTCAGCACTATCGCTATCATCTTACCAACAACATCATGCTTTGCCATGCAGGCTCATGCCCTCCTAAGCCCGACGATACTGCTACAACACCAGCAGCGCACTCGACCAGTCTGACCCACCTCGCGAAAAGCAGGTTCATCACTGCTCCAAAGCATTCCAGCATGGATCTCGCCGTAAGCTTTCCCTTCCTTCTACGCCCCAGCAGACCCTGGAAAGAGTGACCCAAAAGGCTGATCATTCAAAACCCATTCAGAGGGCTAGCGCCAGCACCCACCGCCACGCCCGCCCACCCTCGGGCATCATCAAGAGCATACCAGCAGCACCTACACTGCCCCGACCTACGAAGAAGAGAGTAATGGTCTTGTACGACGGCAATAGGCGACTTACCGAAGACGAGATGGTGGGGGATCGCGCGAACGAGAACGAGACTGGGTCTTTACCGGATTCAAGCACGAATTCAGTTGTATGTCTTCTTCCTTCTCTCTGCTTGCTGGGGCTTCACTTCCTAGCACAGGGTCCCACGCCTTCTAAGCTGCATGGCTGACTGTCTCCAGAAGACACGTGACAACGATAAGGAACTTGAGAATCGACTCACTCGCATTGAAGATGGCCTCGTCAGTCTTCAGACAAAGGTGGACAAGATGTTTGATCGTCTTGACACAACGATGGAGAAGATCCTCGATATGCTTGATGCCAATACTGCTGCTCTGAGGAACCTGAACGGCAGGAAAAGCGAAAGGAAGAGTACCAACGACCCGTACCTGTCGATGTGAGGACTTGCTGAAGTGCGGGTCGAGTAAATACACGATGGAAGGTACTCCCAGGTTGCTCATGCCTAGGCACCTTTGCTGTAGTCTCGACTTCAGTCACAAATATGTGCTCATGCCTACCTGGAGCTCAGCTAGGCTCCAACATTGACCCAAACCGTAGGCACTCATAACATCTTTATCAGATCCCATGCAAGCGCGCCACCTCTCCTAACGCTCCAACAGTCACCATGGACAAGTCTACCACACGATCGCCAGCTCCTCACGAGGTGTTGGGCGTTGAGAGACATGCAACTGCCAGACAGGTCAAGACAGCATACAGGAAGCTCTCCCTGCAATTTCACCCGGACAAGAACCCACACAGTCGTGGATGGGCGACCGCCAAGTTCAAGGAGCTCAATGAGGCCTACGAGACTATGGTATGTATGCTCCTGCCGTGCTTTAAGCCTTACCTGTTGCTTGATCACCTCGTCGTCTCACCTACTCAAACTCATCGCTGGCGTGGTCAGAAGCCAGAAGCAGCTCTACTTCAATGAGAAACTGAAGCGTTGGGTCGATCTGGACGACTCGCTTCGCTTTACAGCAAAACTGATCCCTTTCTCTCTCTCTCGCTCCACACGGCTCTCCCATTGGATAGAGCAGTCCAAGATGCAGCGATCACCATACCTGTTCTCGATTTCAGCTCCTGCTCGACGAACGAAGACTGAATTTAAGCTGACTGACCGTATCAGAAAACCAGCAACGTCGATGAGATTGAAGTGCGCCTCACTGATCTCGAGAACATGTTCGAACAGATACACCAAAAACTCGGGGAAGCTATCGCCCAGCTTGAGAAGAATACGAAGATGCTCGAGAACATACTTGCCAACCTCGAAGAGCGGAAGGGCCGCCAGGGGTTATGAATTCGTCAACGACTGTCGGAAACCGGCGGCGGGAGGAAGGACTTGCTGGACTGAGGAGGCCTGAGTACAATTCACAGGGCTGTACGCAGGCCAGACGTACCTGCCCTTCGCCATGTCCTCGGTCTCACTCAAGTTCACAAACCCCTGGCTCCACACTCAGCTATATGCTCGTTCCCACGTGGTACCAAGAATCAGCCTCAGCTGTGCACTTTTCCAGCCCGTATCGGCACACAATTCTTTTCGTTTCATGTTCGACCCTACCACCATACCCTCCTCGCCACATCTACCACCATGACCTCGTGGTTCCGTCCTACCCAGCTCACCATGGACCAGGGACGCCTTTCGCCGATCATGGAGCTCGAAACACGCTTTCCCGTCCATACGAGTAGATCAGCAGCACCCTCCGAGTTTCACGATGAGTGTAATCGACCTATAACTAAGACGGTATGTCCTTGTTGATGAGCAACACTTCTGGCCACCTCAACCTCAGTAGAACTTAGTTCTTCTAACTTCAACTTTAGAAGGGCTATTACTTCGGACAAGAGGCGCTCGTAAACCGCCTCGATCGACTCGAGCATCAACAAATCCACACCAAGACCCTCAAGGACCGTCTCGATCAGCTCGAGCAGAAGACTTTACGCGCCCAGATTGGGCAGCAGAAACGCCTCGAGCAACTCGAGCGGGATGTCGAGCAGACGTTCGCGTTGTTTGAGAATGAATTCGATGGGCGACTTGAGCGCATGGAGCAGGAGATCTCGCAGCAGATGGCTGCCGTGAAGAAAGAGGTGCTCGGGGTGATTAAGAAGTGGGCTGATGGAGTATGTGATGCTATTGCTGAGCGGAACGCCGTGGTGCGGGAGGAGCTGTCGAAGTAAGACGTGGTTCTATGCCGTAGATGCCAAAAGTCGGGTCACCAGCACCCTGCCGTCATCCACAGCGACAAGCACATATTCTTGGCACTCCACTTACCTCAAGATCGTCTTCATATGCTCGTTGTCCCATATTTTCGTTCGACAATCGACCGCAAATTAAACAGAATGTCAAGACTCTTCTCCTCGGTGTAGTGTTATCACTTTCACGCGCGTATTGGAGTTCTCTGACCGTCCCTGATTTGTGATCGTGCGTCTTTTTGGGCATTGGAGCTGGGTCAGTGTTGTTAGTGGTTATGCAAAGCAAGGCCCTCGCCTATTTGGAAAACTTCATAATGGAACTGTTTCGTATGAGAAGCCAAGGGAGTTTGCAAGCTGCAAGGCGCTTCGCATTCGGGGATCGTGCAGTTCCGTCAGTCAAGCAAGGCTGCCGCCGAGTGTTTTAAAGCAACAGATCAGCACTCAATAGTGGTCAAAGTCCAGCATCCGTTCTTTAGATATTGTTCGAGACTCCAGAGTATCCCACAGGCTGTATCGTCAGGTATTCCCCCAGTCCCTGGCCTTTGCGTGAGTGAGACCACGCACGCGTTCCGAGTCCGGACACCCGCGACAACTTTGGCTCCTCCTCACCCAGCCACAGCTCGCAAGGCCCCTCAATGGTCCTCACTCTCCGTGAAAGCCTTATACCTTCCTCATCCATCAGTCCCTCCAGCTCACCCGCGTCACTGATCTCAATCTTGGCCATCCACGCCTGGTCCTCGGAACTCTTGTTGACATCACCCGGCTTCTCCTCCAGCGCGCCATTTGCCTCCACGATCGTTCCCGACGCAGGCACGTTGATATCGCTGGCGGACTTCACGGATTCGACGGCACCCATGGTGTCGCCCTTCTTGAGCTCCGTGCCGGTCTGGGGAAGTTCGACGAAGACGACGTCGCCGAGTTGAGAGGCGGCGTAGGTTGTGATTCCGATCGTGCCTGTAGTGAAGCGATTCATGGTCAGCTGCGGTACTCGGGCGCATCTGATCTTGTGTCCTCTAGACGGGCGTATAGCGTACCGATCTTCCCTGCATCATCCAGCTCGATCCACTCGTGGTCTTCGGTGTACTTCTTGACTTGCACTACTCGCTCGTCAGCTTCTCTGCCGGAATCTATGCAATTGCTGTGGACGTACAGGAAGAACTACCGCCGAAGCCCCTCCTCGCACCCGCCCGCCATTGCGCTGCAACGGCTTGTGGCCTCACACTCGGTCTCGTCGATCTGAGCGCACCGCGAGCTGCCGGCAGCAGTCTCGATGCCACTTGCGTCGCCATTGTAAACTTGCAAGTGTCGATCTCGTAGCCGAGAGCTCGGAGTGAGGTCTGATAGAGGTGGAGAAATCGCGGCCAAATCGACTCCAAAAACCTTGGCGCTAGTCGAGAAGTTGAAGTCACGGATCAAGCTCGATTCACTTCGTACTCTTCCCAACCACGCGAACAGCAGGCAACGATGCTGTATGAATTAATAGCCGTGGTACGTATTGGCTCTTTCGGAGGCTCTGATGATGCGCTGACGAGGGAATCACAGGTTCGACCCGGCAATCTACAACATGTCAAAGAGTACGTTCTTTCCTCCTTGTGACATCCGTCCGTCGCAGCGGCGCATACTCCGAGCGGCCATCTTCCCCCAAGCTTCCCACTGCGCACCAGTCTATGACAATGGCTGCGAGCTGCGTTGAGCATGGGCTGCGCTGTACCTGCCCGCCACATCAGCGACATCATCATCAACTCCCATCAACGGTCCATCCCACCGTCGTTGTCGTCGTCGCATCGCTTTCCACCACCTACCCCATGACATACTCAGTCCGAGACCCAAACTAACCAAACCCCCTCACAGAATCGTCCTAAACACCTCCCGCACAATCCTCTCACCACCCCCTTCCCT